CCCGAATGGGTAAGGTTACTGGAGCCCAAACCCTCTTAGTGGTTATGGGAGTAGGCATCTTATCATGAGTTGCAGGCGTTCACGGGCGGCGGTAGACACTTGCTATCAGGTGACCCATCTGCTCGTTTGCCTTCCTACACCATAAAAATACTAACTAAAAAACAAAATAAACCACTCTGTGATACTTCTACAACTGACACGAATATAAGACACCTTATGTGTGAAAATCTCTGATGACTGTTCAGGTTGCATCGTAAGTGTAATATAAAATTATATTAAATACTAGCTGAGACCCGCGGTGTTACCCGCCTTGTTGTTATAACCGCGGGCAACGCCGCGGGGCGAAGCTAGTGTAAAAAAATTAGCCTAAGTTACTCCTTATGTCATCAGCTATCTGCCAGTGAAAGTCTTGTCGAAATCGTTGTTATTGTTGAAATTTTATTTTGGCATATGTACCATGTAAACATACATATGCATTTAGTAAAAAGCGGTTATTTTAATATTGCAAACAGACACTCCAATTTAATTTATTTGTTTAGACAAAAAAGAGGCAGATACCACTAACGCACGTACTAATTAAATTGAGAAAATTAATAAAATGCCTTTCTGTGTATTCTGAAAGTGCACAAATTAACAAAAAGGTAAATAAAGATAAAGGAATATCATACCACGGGTCTGCGCTAATAGATGTATGTATACCTAGTGTTACGGAACAAATATTTTATGCCAACTCCATGAATAACTTTAAGGTTCTATTTTTAAATCTGTTTTTAAAAAGCGTTCATGCGTAGAAGGAATGGTGGTTCTAAATCAATATACATTTTTTCTACGGAAATACCTAAATCAGGCGATGAAAGTACTTAAAAGTCTTTTTGTCATTAAAATAGGACTCAATCTGCCTTCCCCTAATAGTTTTATGAACTAACACAAATTAGAAATCTATGTTTAGAAATGAGTAAAGTCCTATACAATTTGTGAGTAAGAATAGAATACATGTCATAGTCTAGGAGCCAGCACTACTAAGGTTTCTAAGCGCTGTTAGATATATGACGCATGTTAACAATAGTTGTACAACTTTATCTTTTCAATGAACGAATGAACAGTTAAAACTACACACTTTCGAAGTTTAAAAAAAATTAGTATTTCTTATTTCATGGTTCTAACTTTGAATTGACTTTGCAAATGACGAACTTCCATACAACCATACATGTCTTATTTTACCTCCTTAAGGGTGAAATCTCCTAATATCATTTCTTCAACATTAAAAGCATCAGCTGTCTGCATTTCAAGTTTAGGTTCTGCGTTGATGAATCAGTCAGGGCAAGTAATTTTTATATGATAAAAAGAATTTGCTTGTGTATTTGAATGCATTACACAAGCAAATTCTTTTAGGTATATATTATGTTTATTTCTTTTAAGTTCCTATTTATAAGTTCTTATTCGACGAATCAGTTCACCTTCCATCTCGGTAAGGTGATAATCCGACCGGATTCAATAAATTCTTTTACATGAGTAATGATTGTTGACTGAGTGAGTGAGTTGAGTGATGATTGTTGCTAATATGTCCGTCATATTAACAATAATCTGTTTTTTTTTTTTTTACTTACGCCTACAGCGCAAGCAAACGTATCAACACAACAGTATTTACCAAAGTCTTTATATTGGTAACACTGAATGGGGTGTTTTTATGGTATGTGGGGGCAAACGAGCAAATAGGTCACCTGATGGTAAGAGACTACCACCATCCACAGACACTTACAAAACGGAGTCACAAGTGTGTCGCCACCGTTTGAGTTCTCCTCCCCAGAAACGGGTGGATGGGATTTGGGCTAAGAATAACCCTAATGACAATTTATCTGTTTTATGGACTCGGTAAAAAGCAATGAAAGAATGGCTTAACACTGGTTTTCTGTGATGCCGTGGACTCCAGTCGGGCCCGCCCATTTCTGCTGAAGCATGGCTGTCGTAAGGTTAGAGGTGAGTATATTTTCATCCACGAAGAATGTTGGCAGAGTAAAAAATGTGTTTACATCGCTTACTAATGCCACGAGGTAATGGAAAGACATTCATTCATTTATATTTTTGCACATAAATTAGTGTCGGTAAAAAGTGAAAATGGTCAAGAACTTGTTCTGTTGAATATAGTTTGCAATTAATTTATGATCTTGATGACGCAAGCAAACTTTCTTTGATAGAAAACTAATTCTTCTAAACAAGCATTAGATACATAATTAAATTATATGAATATATTATAAACAAAAATAAACACTTTGCAACTTTTTAAATTTTCGATGTCATTTTGTGGTAAATATGAAGTTCCTCTGCGTAAATGAAAATTATCCTTTTCCCTGTTTTTTATTATTATTTTTAGGGTTTCGTACCTCAAAAGGTAAAAAAGGAACCCTTATAAGATCACTTTCTTGTCCGTCTGTCCGTCTGTCCGTGTGTCACCACCGATTTTCTCAGGAACGGGTAGACCTAGCAAGTTGAAATTTATACCAGATACTGAGGTCTATGGTCCCTATTAGGTGTATAAAAATCAAAGCCGACTGTTTTCAAAACTCAAATATACCATCTAAATGAATTTAGAAATATGAATTTGGAATTCTTAACCAAAGAGGAGATTTTTTAGATCAAAGTGGTCAGTACGACAAAACGCTAATTTCATATATTATGTAAGGACCTAATATAAACTTCACCGGTACATACCAAGTTCAATTTGTCGGTTTTAAAATAAGATTTTGTATTAAAAAAACACGTTTTTCACAACACTTACGTTATTCACAAAGTACATTAGAGCGTATTTTAAAGGTGCGTAATAATTTTAAATATAACAACTATACTTTTACATTTGGTAATGGTAGGAATAATAATGTCTTTACATAATTCATACACAGCAGTGTCAAATGCAAAAAGATTTTTCATATCTGATTGTCCGTTCAGAGAATAGATCATTTTCAACCGTGATTTCAACCCAAAGTTTTTAGCATTTAGTAGGTAGTTAGTCGACCTAACGGAAGTTGCCTTGCCCAAACGTTGGTTTTCGTTTTGGAGACACAATTGATTTGAAACTGACATAACTTGGATGTAATAATAATAATATAACCTCCTTTTCAGAAGAGGCCTATGTCCAGCTGGACTGGCCATTGAACTATTAAAGGCTGTTGATGAGTTAGTTACCCAGTGCCATTCGATAAAACAATAAAAATGATTACGTCTACGAAATAAATCGTATAGGACAACACAACTTTATAAATTAAAAATGAAACTACGACCGAAAATAATAACTATACCTAATTTTAAGAACTGATTGCAGCACCACTTCTATCTATTGCGTTAATATTAGATTCCTAATTTGGTTCTAAGTTATAGATTATAATCGAAATCATCCGAAGAAGTGAAAGAAGCCTTGTGAAGTATAGCATAATTTAGAGTTTCCTCATAGTTAGGAATAAAACGGAATATATTATTGTGGTACTCAATATTTATAGCTGGATTTCAAAAGCATTTATAAGTTTAGTTGTTCTGTAATCTAAGAATATGAGTTTGGTTGACCTTTTTTTTTAAAGACAACTCCCGCACTAGGAATAAATCCTGTGTCGCGGGGAACTTTACAAACATACATTAAACGGACATAAAGAACACCCAGACTCAAGACAACAATTTGTGAATCGCACAAAGTGTCGTCCCATGTGGGGATCGGACCCACAGCACTCAGCGTAGTAGTAAGCAGCGTGGCGACCGCTTAAACCACTATGCCATCCGTGAATTAAAAGAAATACTTTAGAAAAAGATTTTACTTGATATACGCATGCAATTTATTTTAATCTTTCGAAACAGGAGGATCGTATTTAATAATAGATTTACATACTAAACGAAACTACTTCATTGTCTTTCGTTTAACAATGTGTGTTGCCATATCATTCTGATATCATTTACCTTCTGTGTGACATATGATGAAGTAACCAATGTTTTGTATTACGTTAAATAAAAAATCGTTTCCTAAATTATACTAACGGACAATTCATATACACTTTATCCGTATCTTGACTGGTATGAGTAATGGAAATTTATACTGACTATACGTATTGTAAGATTGTAATAAATTCACAACTCAATATTCATAATGTACTTACGTCAGCGTTTACTTTCGAGTGATATTATATACATTAATGGTATATCATCCATCAATTTTAATTGAAATACGATTGTTAAAGCGTAATGTATTAATTTAAAACTTGGCTCCAAAGAATTTAGCAAGTGCATACTAAAAAAAATACTTTAAAAAGTATAACAATAGGTATGCCTGGTCTTCGGAATTCAAAATAAGGGCCAGAGCTATACGACTTGTCTTTGACCTACTTTAAGACACGTTATTTTTTTTAGGTACATACGTACCTGCCGTTTTAAATTTACTGATAACCTTTCCTTAGCACTCAGATTTACGGTTATTAAATAAAAAACACACGAGAGGTGGGACCTTCTAGTCCTAAAAAGGTGGATACGTCTGCATGATAGCGCATCCCCAAGATTTATTATGTAATTTGTTTTTGTTGTAATGTAGAACTAACTAGATGTGATGATTGTTACTAACACATTTATGGATTAATGTCTAAAATAAATTTATTTATTATTATTATTGTTTATTTTTATTACATTTATTATATTAACACTGGAAACTCGTAAACTTTTACTGCTAATAGGCATTACAAATAGCATCTGAGAGTTAATAATGTCATAAGTGTTGGATTTAACAATTTGTTCTGTCTTGCCAATATCAAGTAAAATATCAAAATAGTAAAATCTCTACGAATTTTCATGTATGATTACGTCTAGACGTGTAATAGACGCGTCTGACACACTGTTAGCATTTTAACTGGTATAATAAACATTAATATTTTATTATTAGTTTTTTAAGGATAAGGATAGAAGAAATGCGCAGGGTAATATATTACCAAATAAAATACAAAATTTGAGGAAAAGATATAAACACTACTTACGTGGGGTATAGCCCTAGGCCTAGGGTCCAAATGCATCCCTCCCACTTCAATGACACCAGGTAACAAGGGACGAACGCCATTCAAACTATGAAACGTATTCAACATCATAGCAGTAACATTTTTACCGAGATCCTGTAAATCCGGAATTCTTCTCCCAAACCGCTTTTCTATCATGGCCTTCTCCTTCAACTGAATCGCATATCTGTACCATATCTTATAGTATACATTCATAAATGTGTTCTCTAGCCTTTGCATAAAACTCATTTCAGAAGTGAATTCTGAACTAAGTATAGGTACATAGGAAGGGTTATCAGTGACCCCAATGCGGTCAGGACACCAATGCATCATTGAGCTTGTTAATAATGAAACAAAAGGCGCTTTCAGTCCATACACATGTGCTAACCCTAGCATACAGTCACTATTGAAGGTTTCCACTAAAATAATATCGTAACTCTTCTGCAGTACCTCAGCTAAGGGTTGAAAATCGACGAGTTTGGAGCACACGTCCAAAGCTAAATCTGACAGTGGTTGAAAGTCCATAAATTGCTGGTAAATTTGTTTAATCCCCAAAAGGCTTAGAACTGTGGCAGAGGCGTCATCTTCATAAAACGACAAATCAACCGTTTCCAATCCCAGCGGTGATAATCCTTCTAAGCTCACGGTGGTGTAGTTTGCTGGTGGATCCTTGATTGGGAAGAAAGAGACGACTGTGAGGTGATGTCCTCTCTCAGCTAAAGTTTTGAGCAACGGATCAAAAACCATTTGGTGGCTTTTGCCAGTGTGAGGGAATAGGCCGAGAATTCTTGCGGCTTGTGCGTTTTCCGCCGCGATTAACGCGAGTAGAAATGCGATCGTCCGCATGGCGAGTGAGCGACGTCGCGCCTGGAAGGGAACTGTCGACTGACACGAGCGCGGCAAATGGACGGGTTATTTTAAGTAAGTTACGTGCATGATATTCTATACACATAGGGCTGTTGTTTTATTTTGTATTTACTGTATAGTTTGGCATCATGTCTATACTAACGATTATTTACAGTTATTTCGATTTGTGAGTCACAGCAATTAAGTGGTGAAAGCTACAATAACAACCGTTTTATAAATACATTTAAAGATATAGCCGATACCTCAGCCCCTTTATCAAGGGGTAATGCCTCGAGGAATATAAAAATAGTGCACACCGTTAACAAATTAATAACTAATAAATTACATTTACACTAAAATACTTTCATTTGGGGCAGATGTACGGTTTTACTAATGTGTAGGTATTTCGAAGATGTCTGACAACTGGGCCTCAATTCTACTATTTTATGTTCACGCAAAGCCACTGTTATACCACTGACACAATATTGAGATGCCATCGAGTGGCCATTGGCATCGGTATAAATATCGGTAGTTGAAAAATTATTTAGTTAAATTTAGTTATTTAACTTAATAATAATAATTAAAATAAAAAAATATTAAAATAAATAAATCATTTCCTTATAATTTGAAAATATATTACGTTTTTTGAGGAAACATTTTTTATTTATTTTAATAATTTATTTATTTATTTTTGTTTATATTTTAGTTTTTTAATAATTTATATTAATAATTTATTGTAATAAAAATAAATAAATCATATTCCTTAAAAACGTAATATATTTTCAAATTATAAGGAAATGATTTATTTATTTTAATATTTCTTTTTTTTTTTTTTTTTTTTTTGTTTTTTGATAAAAAAAATATTAATTTATTTTGTTATTTATTAATTTTAATAAATTATTATAATAAAAATAAATAAATCATTTTCTCAAAAAACGTAATATATTGTCAACTACCGATATTTATACGGATGCCAATGGCCACTCGATGGCATTTCAATAGCGTGTCAGTGGTATGACACTGGCTTGGCGTAAACATAAAATAGCAGAATTGAGGCCCAGTGGCTTGGCGTGAACATAAAATAGCAGAATTAAGGCCCTGTATGACCTGAAACTCCGGGCCCTTTAGTCTAGAAATACGTAAATAAGTGCAATACTTTTCATAGTAAATAATTATAACATCAAACCCATCCAATTATGTAATTTTGTTGATAAAATTTAATTTTTGTTTGTGTGGCTCAATCGCTTTCATCGTGTATTGTATTAAACAGTATTTTTTATTCCTAAAGTTTTCACTCTTAGGGGTACTATTTTTCTTCAAATTTAGGTAATAGCGAACGGGAAGTATACTCTCACAAATAAAAAAAAGAAATTTTCAAATCGGTTCATAAATTAATAATAATATAATATATATCTCGCACATCTCACACGCAAAAATTACCTACGGAGATGAAATAAATTAACTATCACCCTTGATAAATCATATGATTTTTAAATAACCTAATCACTCCTGTGACAAAGGTGTGTCCTGTGACCTCAACAAACAAAAGTAATCTCTGGTAAAAAAATTTTTAGTTGATTCTTATGGCATTTATCTTTGTCTATGACCAAATTGCAATTACAGGTGACATCACAGTGACTAAAACCCATCATTTCATGTGAGTATGATTTAAAAGATGCAATAATTTTCATGTCAGAACTCCCTTACGTAGTTCTGAGGTAAAAATCATTAAAAAATACAACTGAATTTAGAAATTCCTTCTTTTTTGAAGTCCCTTAAAAATAAGACTTTCGATTGCTAATGCTATTTTATACAGAATATAGTACAGCAAGTCTTTCGAGTACGATAGGCCTAGATGGGCATTCATGATATCGCATCATCATCACTTCTTCAAATCTATATTTACACCAGAATAATTCCTAAATTAAGGCTAATTAGCCTAATTAAGGCTAATTAATAAATTTGTATATCTTTCCTGGTTATTGTGTATACCTACTTATATATTATGCAGTATTGACAAGGAAATGTATGCGAATTCGCTATTCGTATTTTAAAGAATAACTCGTTACAACTGGTTGAGCAAATTTCTCTTCAGTAAATACGGTTCCGTAGTTTATAACATAATGCACTCACGTATTTTATCCCTAAAGGGGTAAACAGAGGGGTATTAAACGCTCTCATTTTTTCAACCATAGTAAATCCAGTTCTACTCACGTAATAGTACGGAAGTCGTTGATCGGGCACATAACATACATATATTTCTAAATTAACATTGTATTTCTAAGTACGTATTTCTAAGTACATACATTAGATTTATACATTAGTAATTAATAAGTCATATACAAGCTGATGGGTTTCTTTTGTTTTAGTTTTATAAGTTAGTTTTATAGCTATCCGTGTGGTGATAGGAATACGGAGTGTCACCACCCCTTTTCGCCTCGTTGGTGTAGTAGGTAGCGCATACGACTGCTATGGACTAAATGTAACTCTGCAAATATTTGTTTCGGGGTTTGGGTATTGTCTACATATGTGTAATACGAGTATGTATGTATTTACAAAAAAAATACAAGACGTATTCTATCAGTCAATCTAGCTTTCATAGTAGGTACAAGCTCTGCTTAGTTTAAAACTAGATGGCGTTGTGTGGTAGATGTCCGAAATATTTATTATTATTATATTCATCCCGTGGGTTTCGTAAGAGCCGACTAAGGGAGCAAACTACGCAGGGCTACAACATTGCAAAGAGAAGGAAAACTTGAAACAAACTCTAAACCAACCCGTCCGGCCAGCGTGGTATAGTAGGCCGAAATCTCCTTTCTAAGGGAGAGGCCTAAATCCAGCAGTGGACTATTAAAGGCTGTTTCTGATGATGATGATGATTTATAAGTTAATCACAAACTAACCACGGGAGTGTTATGCCTCGACTTAGGGCTAGCTCGACGGGAGTGATATCACGTCCTCACACAAAATCGGTGTTAAGCTATTCTTTCTTCTTTTTACATTTACAATTGGAAAATTGGAAATTTTAAATTGGAATCAATCGATCTGATTAAATATTTTTTTTAGTTTTGTTGATATACGTTGAAAATACTGTAAAACTTGTTAAAAATACTCCAATAGATTTTTTCCCCCTAAATTATGGAAGAAAACCCCGGAGTTGGCTTCACTGGTGTCTCTTGAGGTGCAGGTGTCCAGGTGCGGTAGTCACTTTCCATCAGGTGACTTGTCGTTTGTTCGATATACGATTAAAAAAGCCCTTGATGCACTGCTAAGCTTGATCGGTCTTGTATGATACAGATTTGGTCATGTGACGTAACTGCTTCAAAAGCGGTCAAGGGTGAATCTTAAAATGCTTTGCATTTCGGTTATTCCCCCGGTGTATTGTCTTCAAATAAAATTTCTTCTGTACTTGTAAAACATTATGTATTTTCCTCAAATTCTTTTTTACAATAATAAAACATGTAACTATACTTGTATAATTTATTTTAATGTAACTACTCTCCAATGGTTTTAGAAAGCGTATCGGTCTGTCAACTCTTATTATAAAATTAATAGTTCTTTGATATAATTGTATATTGTATATTACCAAAATAAGGGCAAAATAAAAAAAGGAATAGGTAAATATTTTCTTACCTGTGGGACGCGTCCGCGCAATATGTCGCTGTAGAAATATTTCTTCAAACGAGCAGACGGATCATCAGATGGTAAATGACTATCGCTGCCAATAGATACCTGTAGCTCACGAGACACAAGTGCAATACCACGTTTTTAGATGGTGGTGGTGGTGGGTGGGCCCCAACAGTATCAGGGAAAGAGAAGAATGAGCTTTTGGCAACCTCACTTAAAGATAAAAAAAATATTGAAGAAAGAAATGCTTAAGATCGGTTTATTGTGAACCCCTTGTATAACTCCGGTCGAGCTGGCAAATATGTGCCGCAGCATAGCCTGCCCCCCTCCTACGTTTAAACTACAATAAGTGTTTGGTGCCAACATAATAATAATATTTTTTATTTTCTCACCGCAACATCATAACAATTACAATAACTAAAACAATCACAAAAATGGGCATCAATACTGTGGGGACTGGTTCCTTGTGGCCAGGTCACCAGGTCTTCCCCTCTTTAAATTGTCTTGATTGCAACATTGCATTCGCCAGTTTTAGGATTAATTTTTAACAAATTTTGTGGGTTGTATATTGCATTGCATGCAACTGCGTGTGGTGACGGATTAAGAATATAGAGTGTCACCTCCCCTACTCATCCCGTGGGTGTCGTAAGAGCCGACTAAGGGGAAAAACTACGCAGAAGAACAGCACTGCAGAGAGAAGGAAAACTTGACACAAACCTTATACCAACCCGTCTGGCCAGCGTGGTATAGTAGGCCAAAACCTCCTTTCTAAGGAGAGGATTATGTCCAGCACTGGACTGTTAAAGGCTGTTGATGTGATGATGTGATGTGTATATTGCATTTCGTTTGTGCGTGCGTGTGCACGTGTGTGTGTGTGTGTGTGTGTGTATTTGTACTATTGTGTGTGTACGTGTGTGTGTGTGTGTGTTTGTGTGTATTTTTATGATAGAGATCAGAACAGCAAAGTTGCTTAGCTTTATAGAACCATCCTCAGAGATGAACCGACTTCGCTGAGAAGAGTAATGCCTGGCTTACTTATAAATATCACACAACTACAGCTGAATATTTTAAGGTGGTTTGACTATCTGTTTAAGGCCTTTCGACTGCCTCAAAATAATTCATTTTCAAAATAAGCCAGTATCGAGATGTTCTTGTTTGTTTCATAATTTCATTTGGGGTCAGCGCACTGTATGGTATTGCAAAAGGGGTTTCACTAGTTTCTTTTATGAACTGCTGCCTGAATGAGGTTAATATTTGTGGAAAATGTAATCGATTTAAGACGGGAAGAATAAAGTACGTTAGGTAATGGGTTAAGAACAGAACTTAAACTGCAATTCGCTTACAGAGGCTGAGGCATTCTTCGCGTTCGCTTC